TTAATAACAGCTTTAATATGAACATGAATAGATTATTGAAGATTCATATAATTTCAGATTGAAAAGAAGGGAAAATAAATTTAGAATGTTTAAGTTGTGTTTATAATTTCAATTATGTAGAAATGAATGAAAAAGCAGGATCAATTGAAGTCTATAAAACAAGATAGCAATAATAACCTCTTTTAATATGAAAGAAGAGAGTAGGATTATATCTATAAAATAAGTATTAGAAATAGCAGATAGAATGCCGCCTTATTTAATCCAAGGTTTTTATTATTTTCAATAAATCAACATTGTAAAATTGTGGCTGTGTGTAGGCAGTTCTTAGTAAGAATTTATGAGGAAGACAGAATGTGCTGGACCTCATTTACTTTTAAGAAAGGATTGAGGGAAGAAAGTATTTGGTGGATTTTTATTAAGTTCTTGGGGGCTATCTAAGAATGAATTAAGAATGAATTTTTTGGATAGGGTGAATGCTTTTTATTTATTTTTTTAGATAATCATAAAAGGTTAATCAAAGAACATAAAAGAAAAGTTGTTTTTAAATGGCTGATGAGACTGGATTTAGTATAGGAGAAAGAGATAAGTAAGTTAATTTAGAATTATATAATAGATACGGTTTATTTATAAGTAGTATAATTAGTAAGGGAAATTAAATCCAAGTGAAACTTTTGATAATGAAGTGTTGTCAAGTGAAATAAATTTTAAAATTAAAGAGTTAGAAGTTTGGGGATTAGATGAGGAAGCTGTACATTAAATAAAATTTTAAGATTAAAAAAGATCATTATTTACGAAATGAATATTATTAAGTTAAATGAATAAATAATAATGTTGTTAATAATGTGACAGCAATGAGAATGTTTTAGTTTGTGTTAAATGTTCTTAAGGATTATGCGATGAATGTTTTGAATAGTTTGGAGGCAAAGATTTTGAAGCCTTATGTCCAATATGTTAAATGCTTAGTGTTTTTAGATAATCATAAGTAGAAATATGTGAAGCATGTGCTGATATTCATGAAAATGAATAAGAAGAAATGGAATGTCTATTTAAATCTATGAATTTAATGAAAGAAAAAATGAATTAATTATATGTTGTAGGATAACAGAGAATTAAAAGAATAGAATAATTGAAATAATAAATATAAATTAATGAAAATGAAATTAATATATTGAAAGCATAAGTATAGATTATATGATAATATACACATATATATATATAGAAATAATTAAAATTTAAACAATTTAATACAAATATTAAAATGGGTGTTTGCTGTACGCACTCTTATGAAAAATTTGATAATCCTATTCCACCTGAACTTATTAAAGAGGATATTAAATATGATTAATTTGCTCTTTAAATTTAAAAGCATTACAAAGGATATAAAGCTAGAAAATTATATCATAAAATGAAGATTAAAACAGAAGATTCACCTGTAGTTCATTATCCAAAACCAGAGATTGCTTAAAAACTTAATTAAACTCCAACTGATTATGCTTTAACTGTTTAAAAAGCCTTGTATAAATTAGGACCATTTCGTTATAATGATTATATTAATTCTGAAGATCCTCATAAAAGATCTAAGAATTTCTAAATTACAGAAGAAGATAAAAAACTACCATTTTTAGAACCACATAGATTAATTGATGGTGCAATATACATTGGTTAATGGAAAAATGGAATGAAATGGGGAAAAGGTAAACAAATTTGGCCTGATGGTTCAGTTTATGAAGGATTTTGGTAAAATAATAAAGCATGTGGAATAGGAAGATTGATTCATTAAAATGGAGATGTTTATATAGGAGATTGGTTAGATGATAAATGTCATGGTTTTGGTGTATATACACATAATGATGGTACAATATATAAGGGCAATTGGATTGAAGATAAATAAGAAGGAGATGGCATTGAAGAATATCCAGATGGAACAGTATATAAAGGTTAATTTCTAAATTCTATGAAGCATGGAGAGGGAGAATGTTTTTATTCTAATAAAAATTAGTATATTATACTTCTAATTTTTAGTTACAAAGGGGAATTCCAATATAATTTTATACATGGCTAAGGAAAATTTGTATGGAGTGATGGTAAAGAATATGAAGGGACTTGGGAAAATAATTAAATGCATGGATATGGAGAATTTAAATGGCCAGATGGTAGGTCCTATAGAGGCAATTATAAACATGACTTAAAGGATGGAGAAGGAGAATTTATTATTGATGAAAATACTAGATATAAAGGAAGTTGGAAAAATGGAAAACAACATGGAGATGGAATACTTGTTGTGAAAGATATTCCAAGACCAGGAGTTTGGTGTGAAGGAATTAGAATATAATGGAAGGATAAATTCTGAATTTTATTTATTATTTTTAACTATTATTTAATCACTATACATGATACTTATAAAACTAAAATTATATTCAGTCTTATTTTTACTTTCAGAATAAGGGGAAAATTTATTTAAAATTATACTTTTTAATTTTAATTATTAAAAACAAATTAAAATGTCAGAAGAAATTCAATAATCAAATTCTGGTTAATAGCCAATTGCTAATTATTTTAATCTAAATGATGAAAATTCAATAGATAGATAAAAATAAATGAAAAAGAGCAAAATTGAAAATAAAATATAAAATATAAAAAAAAATAAAAAATAAATCAAAAAGTGATGAAGAATCATCTTATGATAATTGACCAGCTAATTTACCTAATTACTACAGTAATTAGTTTAAATTCCAAATATTTATTTAATATTATTTTATAAAAACTTAATAATTATA